GCAGACAACGAGTTATTATCATGTGGGGGGGATGGGGAGGGGAAAAGAGCAAAGGTATGCTAAACCTTCTATTTTTCATACCTGAACGAACGAACGAATACAGATTTTGTACAGATGATAGTATAAATAATAATTTTGCCTTTGTTTAAATTTGTGTTCGAACTTTACCACGTTTTACCATACGCAAAAAATGATAATAATAATAATAATAATAATAATAATTTAAACGTAAAATACGATTTTACTGGTCTTTGGCCGAGAGCCACTTCCTCAAAAAAAAAAAAAAAAAACGAAACACGTCTGGGTTATCTGGGAAACAAAATGCGATTCTACGCATATCGAACATTTTTTTATTAGTCTTTTTTTTTTTTTTTTTTTTTTTTTAATAAATTGATTTTGTTATGAAAAAACGCCTCCCCCCCTCCCCCTTTGATGTTTTTCAAAACGGTTTTTTTTCTCGGGGGGGGGGGGGAGGGAGAGAGAAGAGAAAAAAAAAAGTAGTAAGAAGTTTGCAGATTTCGTTAGTTTCGAACGAAATGGGTTCAATTGGAAAATGTTGTGTTAGGATCATGTTGTTGTTGTTGTTGTTAAGTTTACCGTGAAAACAAAAGAATGTTCTAGAAACTAAAGTTAAAAGAGGTGTTCGACGATGCGTGTACGCATATACGTAAAAAAATATTCCCGGTGACGAAAAATAAATCATCGGGAATATTTATTCTCCATGTCGTAGATGATGGCGTCAAATTTTGTTTTTTTTTTTTTTTTTTTTATAAATAAATTGATGATTGTTTTTTATCGAGCGTATCGGTCTCATCATCATTATCATCATCATCATCATCATCGTCGTCGTCGTCGGTTTCGAGATGAATCTTAAAAATAATAATAATACCTTCTGCTTTAAGAACAATGGGAAAAAAACGACACAAAAGTTTATTTTTCTTTTTGTTTTATTATTATTATTATTATTATTGTTCAGGTACAAGAGGTGACGTTATTGTCGGGGGGGGGTAGGGAGCGGTGAGGAAGAACACGTTTAGGTTTTTTTTTTTTTTGTTTTATGGAAAGGTATCGATTTACGCTTGATCTATAAAAATAAAGGAAGCATGTGTGTGTTTTAAATTTGAAAAATGCATAGGCGTCACGCGCCTAAAAAATTTTCCATATATATAAATAAAACGCGCATTTTTTTTTTCTATTGACACGTTTCCGAAGAAAATTTTTTATTTATTGGACGGTTAAAAAAAAAACTGGAGAGTACGTTGATCTCGGATTTCTTTACGATTTCGTCGTTGAAATTCGATAAATAATAATAATAATAATAATAATAATAATAAATAAAATAAAAAACTAATAATAATAATAATAATAAAACGGCCGTCGATCGTTTTGTTTTGGCGACAAAAAAAAAAAAAGATTTTTTTTTCTTATAATTTGAGAATGTGAGAGAATATTCGAGATGTGTCAGTTTGTTTGTTTGATTCGAATGGAATCAAAAATCATTTTGAATTCTTTCATGGCTGATCATGGCGTCGTCGCAATATTCGATTGCAATTTTTTTTCATAAAGAGAGAGAGAGAAAGAGAGAGTGTTAAGAAACATAATCGTGTTTCGAAATTGATTTTTGAAAAAAAAAAAGGGTGTTAGGCTCATTTTTGGTTTTGTTTGTCGAAAGGTCGCGGAGGCGTCTCGTCTCGAATAATGAAATGAATCACAAACCTGAAACTCCTCGGGGAACTCCAAAAAAAAACCGTTTTTTTTATTTTATTGAGTCATTCTTTATGTTTTTTAATAATAAAAGTTGTTTTCGTTGAATTTTTAATAAGTCGTTAATTTTATGTTTTGTGTTTTTTTTTTTTTTTTTTTTTTTTTTTTCATTCTCATTTTACTTTCTCATTTTTTTCCAGTGAAAATGTTGCGCTCATTTCGAGTTGATTTGTTCATTGAATGAAAATTATTCCGTTTAAAACGATATATCGTTCGATGTATCGATCGATTATTTCACGCTGACGTAAAATTTGTTAAATTTCTATCGTGCGTTACACGTTTTCCTCACGCTGACACATTTCACGGAGGAAATATGATAGGAGGGGAAAAGAAAAAAAGGAAAAAAATTTCGAATCATTTCCGGTTTACGCCCTCGCGACACTTTTTTATCTTTATTTGTTCTAGTAATAATAAATATCTTTACCGAAATGAAATATTTTTTTTTCATTGGGAAAACGTCAGCACGCTCGATTCGATAGATCGATCGATTTATCGAATCGATAAATATTTGCACAACGCCTTCTTTTTCCCCGTCCGTCATTATTATTATTATTATTATTTTACTAAAGGGTAATGAAACGGAAGAATTTTTTCAAATCCATTTGCCCCAGGGGGGAGTAGTAGGATGGGGGGGGGGTTTCCGACGCACCGGAAGTCTCGAGTGGTAAAAAAAAAAACTAAAAATTTGGATACTCATACGTCATTTTTTTTTTTTTTTTTTTTTTTTCGTTACGTTCGACACATTCTACAAAGTTGTTTGTTTTGCGTTTTGTGTTTTTGTTTTTTGTTTATTATTATTATTATCATCGTTATTTTGGTTTGATTTAAATATAAAACGTAACGCAACGACGGTTGGCATTTTGAAATTCAGGCTTGACAATGTTTGTGTTTATGATAGTTTTGTATTTTGATATTTTCACAGGCTATGAAAAAAATCAAAACATTTACGATGAATTGTTTTGGTTTTTTGTACGATCGATTTTTCCACGGGGTAAAAAACGTTTGACCGGAACCTGAAACTAAAATAGAAAAAGAAAAAGATTAAATAGAAAGAAAAAAAAAAACAAATAGTTTAAAAAATATATAAATATTATCGTAGCCTAAATATTACCCCGAATCATTTTTGTTTTTTTTTTTTTTTTTTTTTTTTTTTTTTTTTTTGCGCAATGAAACTTTTACGTTTTGATGTTTTCTAAGAAAAAGGATGTTTATTTATTTTTGATTCGAGCTTGAGGTAAGATATAATAATAATAATAATTTCTCCATAACGTTTTTGTTTTTCCTAACGGTTTTTCCGCGGTAACAAAAAAAAACCTTCATGAGCACAGCTAAATTGTTTTACCACTTTCTGTTGTTGTTGTTACAATTGTCTGATCTGACAATCAAAGACAAAGCAGATTTTGTTTGACCGTTAAAAAGTTTATGGGTTCATTCAACGATTTTCCTATTTCGTCCCCCGCTTCCCGTTCCTCCTCCCCCCCCAAAGAGGAAAGAATTTTAAGGAATTTTTTGTCTTTCTTTTCTCCTTCGTTTCGAAGGGCGTTAAGATTTGAAATAAACGTAGAAGAAGAAGAAGGAGGAGAAGGAGGAGGAGAAAATTATTTTTATTTTTATTATTAATGATCCGAGACTACAATAATAATAATAATAATAATAATAATATTAATAATTTTAATGGAGTTTAATGCCACACAAAAGAGAATAAAATAAAATATGCCATCAGACGTGTAAAAAAAAAAAAAACTATAAAAATGAACAAGAATTTATTATTATTCGCATTATTATTATTAGCATTATTATTATTATTATTATTAGTATTATTATTAGTATTAGTATTATTATCATCAATAATTTAAACGCCTTGTTTTGCACTGTTGTCAAACTTTTACAGGTTTTTTTTTTTTTTTTTCATTTTTTTTTACAAATGACTCGGAAAAAATTATTTTGCGCATTTAAAAAAAAAATTCCAAAAATAATTTCGGTTGTTGTGGTTGTTGTTGTTGTTGTTGTTGTTGTCGTTGTCGCGGTTGTTAGCATTATTTGTACGGTTGTTAACATAAAAATCAACTCTTGGAAATTCTTCGTTTTATGCGTTAGAGTCCATAAAATTTTATTTTTTTTTTTTTATTTTTATTTTTGCATGGTTTATTTCGTTTTCTCTCCATTTTTTTTTTTTTTTTTTTAAACCGTATTTTCACACAACGGTATGATGCGTAAAAAGCAAAAAAAAAAAAAAGCATAAAGCGGAGAAAGAATAAGAGAGAGAGAGAGAGAGAAAGAGAGAGAGAAAGAGATGTAAAAAAAAAAAAAACATTTATTTTTAATCGTCTCGAACGTTCGATTCTATTTATTCCACCAAAAAAAAAAAAAAAAAGAAATTTTTAGTTTTAATAATATCATCATCATCATCATCATCATTATTTATTCTTCGTATAAGAATAATAATAATAATGATGATAATCACTCGGTCGTCACGACGGTAAATCGAAAGAAAGTTTTCGTGATGGTATTCTTCAAGACGTTTAACATAGACCAGATTAACCACCTGTTTCCACGTTGACGCAGGTCAAGGGCATAGTCTCAAAATAATTTTTTTTTTTTTTTTTGAGTAAAAGTACGTTTTGCGATGATGACGTCATCATGCGGGGGAGGTTGTCTTCTTCTCGGGGTTAGAATTGATGACTTTGTGCAAGGAAATTATTTTGGCACATTTAAAAAAAAACAACAAACTTGGTGTCAACCCACGTGTCAGTGATTTATTTTGATTTTTTCAAAGAGAGAGAGAGAGAGAGAGAGGTTGATTTTATTAATTCCTTCTCTTTTCCTTCCACCCTCCCCCCCCTCTTCTTTGCATATTGCATTTTTTGTTTGGATTTTGAAAAAACAACAGAAGGAAAAAGATTTTATCGTAGAATGTCATTTAAATGTCGGTTATTTTGCTCTTGATAAATAATTATTTTTTATAAAAAATTTATTGTTTGATTGTCCAAAAAAATATTTATCAAATTTTATTATTATTATTATTTATTTTAATGTTTTTTTTTGTTTTGTTTTCGTTTCAGAATGAACGAGTAAAGCGAACGGGAAAAATTTATATATAAAAAAAAAAAAACTTTTTTTTAACACCTCGGTATAGACAGACAGACGGACAGGCGCGGTTGTGAATTTCAATAAATTTATTTAAAAAAAAAAAAAAAATGTCAGAAAATTCTAGAAATAATTCTGTCGGAGTCGAAATGGATTCTTTAGACAAAAGAACTCGATTTCAAGTGAATCGAGTTGATGCTCACGCATCGCACGATGATGGAGAAGAAACGGATAATTTGTGCGATGATGATGATGATGCGAGGTGAGTGTGTATGTCAATTCATCATATTCCAGACTCCAGTACGAATACGATTCCAGTTTTGTCGTGTATGAGAAAGAAAGAAAGGCGACGACTGGAGAGAAGATTTCTCCGATGCGGAGAAAATATTATTATTATTATTATTATTTTGATTTTTCAGGGATGAAAACGATGAGGAAAGAGTTCGACTTTACAGCGAAAGCTACGATACAAAATATGCGAAAAGTTTTCGCCATTTTACAAGGGAAGCTCTTCCGAGGATGGACAATTATAGGAATATCATGTCCATTCACGCAGCTTACAGGCCTACCTTGGATGAACTTCACGATGCCACACTTCATGGAAAAGTAAGAGACAAAAAAAATTTTTTTTTTTTTTTTATTTTTTTCTCGCGTTTTTAAAAGGCGGGGTGTGTGTGTGTGTGTGGGGGGGGGGTGGAATGGGATAGGGTGGTGGTGGTGGTGGTGGAAAATATCGAATAAATGAATGATTAATAATAATGAATGGATGCTGAGTCGAGATGATGAGTCGACAACTCACCGCCATGTTTAATTTTTTTTTTTTTTAAAAACAAAATATTATCTTTCGCGTCTATTTTGCCACGTGAATTTTTCCCAAATGATTTTTAACGATTTATTTAAAGATGGCGATAATGAGAGAAAAGAAAGAAAAATACGCAATTTAACAGTCCTGGTGGTGGTGGTACCTGCCGAGTTTTTGAACTCAATTTAAAATGAATGTTATTAACCTTACGCGTGAGTTGAGAAAATGGTACCCATTCATTCGGTTGGTTGATGAGGAACGCGTCTTGAAGATTTTTTTTTGTTGTTTCCACGGTCCATGGATAATAATAATAATAATAATAATAATGCCAGGGTTTTGAGTGTTTGTCTAAACATTGCGGTCGCATTTTCCACGTACGTTCATGATTGATTTGTGGTCAGATGGTTGGTTTAATAAACAATTAAATTTTTTTCGTCTTTTTCGGTATCTGGAATCGTTTTATTTAATTCTGTGGTTTTTCCACACAACGTTGAGTCAAGAGAGTAAATTCTTCGTATTTCAATTTCGACATTTTTATACCTCGAGGAAAAATTATAAACTTTCAATATCATTGACCTGACGCGGGTTCAAATCCGCCGTCACGGAGTTTTTTTTTTTTTTTTTTTTTTTTTTTTTTCCAACCCACGTCAATCGGGGAAGAAGAAGAAATAAAAAAAAAATTTTCAGGTACGAATGTGGGGGATACATTCGGAAAAAAAATAAAAAAAATAAAAAAAAAAAATTTTTTTTTTTTTTTTTTATTTTTTTTCCGGGGAAAAGGTGTTGTGACGTCAGTTAGAAATTTAAAAGGGCACGCCTTAATTGATTATCTCTCTCTCTCTCTCTCTTTGGATTTTCACGTTGCCGTCCTACCCCTACCGTACCTTTTGTTAATAAGGGCGTGAATGATTCTTTTTTTGGTTAGGTTTTTCCTTAAGAGAACAAAAAATAAGGTATATTATTAGGTTTAGTGTTGAAAATTTTGTTGATTTATAAATTGTTTTGATCTTATTCGAATTCGTTTGACCTTTTGCGGTTGTAGTAATACTACTACTACCACTACCACTACTACTCCTACTACTACTACTACTACTAATGACAGGGTATTAAAATTTCGGTTAAAATTGTTCATTCTTCCACTCCAAGCCGGCCCGTACTTTTTTTTTTTTTATTGTAAAATTTTATCACGGTCTTGTTTATCGAACCTGAAAACCTGTATTGTTAAAAAAAAAGAACAGGAAGGATTTGAAAAAAAAAAAAAAAAAAAAAAAAAAAAAACTTTTAGAAATGTTTAGAAATAATATCGAGAACGACAATGGGGGGGGGGGAAGGGGGGAAATAGAGTTTGTTTTGTTTGTGTTTTGTTTTTGTTTTCGTTTTGTTGTTTTTGATTATTTATTTTATTATTATTATTATTATTATTATTATTATTATTGTTTAATTTTAATGCCACGACAAGACAATATGAATTTTTTTTGAATGTATTCAGGTGGTTTGTCAATAACGTACGTCATTACCGTGTTAAATTGTTGAATCCGTCCCAAATTATCAAATTTTTTCTGTTGTTTTTTGCGTGTTTGTTTGTTTTGATCGTATTTTGTTTTTTCTGTTACACACACACACACACACACACACACGTGTGCACGCACGCACACTAATAATCGTTGAGATGAATGAACCGGATGTTTGAATCTCCTCCTTCTCCCCTATTCTCCCCTACCTACCCCCTTGGAAAAACAAAACGAAACGAAACGATGATGCGAATTATTATTATTATTATTATTATTATTATTATTATTATTATTATTACGGACTTTAGTTTCATTTTGACATTTTCATTTTTTTTTTTTTTCCCCCAATGAAAAGAAGTCGAGACAGAGAGAGAAAAACATTTCCATGAAATCCATTACAATCATTAAATGTTTTGTTGAATCGAGCAAAAATTAAACAATAGCAAAAATAAAAAAAAAATTCGTTTTGGGATTATTATCATTATTATTACTATTTTTGGCCGGAATTATTCTAATGATTTTTTACCATTCGTATTGTAAATTATAAACAACGGTGGTTGATGATGATGATGATGATGATAATGTATTAATAATAATAATAATAATTATTTTGATGGTGAGCGTTCGTTCATAAGTTTTTTCGTCGGTTAAAGATCACGAAGAATATTAATTAATGGAAAATTTTTAATTTTTTTTTTTTTTAAATTTTCCGACGAGAAAATTTTCTTCATCCAGCCTTCATCATTTTTAAATGTTAATCACGTTATATACGTGATAGCCTAAATAAAAATTAGGTTGGGTAATATCATTTAAAAAAAAAGAAGAAGAAGAATGAAATTTTAAATTAATGCCACGTTTGACACGATGTTAACGTGTCAAGAGAATTTGGCAAAAAAAAAAAATTTTCCTTTGACAATAAATAAACGAGTACGCGGTGGCGGCGTTAATAAAGGAAATAAAAGGAAAAGAGGGGTCAACATACTGAATTGAGTTCTTTGCCATTGGCGGGTACTCGCATATAGCGGCGGGTACTCTTTTCTCTCTTTTTAGCACCTAATTATTAAGACGATAACCTAGAATAACCTCTTTGGCAATGGAAATTCATTTTTTTTTTTTTTTTAGATTCCTTTGGCACAAAATGGAAATTACCATTGATTTATGACTTTTCGTTACGAACGTTTCCATTGATTTCATTTAATAAGAAAAAGAAAAATGTCGAAATGAGTTTTTTTTTTTTTTTGGGGGGGGGGTTTTGCATCGTGATGGATTAAGGTATAAGTGATTAAGGGATTAGAATGGATTAGGCATATAAGGGATTAATGAGAAAATTTTAGAATTTTCATTTCCGTTTCGTTTTAGTAGGAAAACGTTTTTCTTTTTCCTGTCGTAGTTTTCCTCAGTCAATTTTTTTTTTACAACAATTTGGGACAATCGTATTCGTCGTGTCTTTCATTCTTTTTTTTTTTTTTTTTTTTGACTTCTCGTATTTGCTGTCATTCATTTTTTTTTTTTTTTTTTTCATTTCAAAAGTCGTTTTGACGTCATTTGCGTGCGTGCGTGCGTGCGTGCGTGTTCGTGCGTTGCTCTCAGTCGTGATTGTCGTTCGTATTTTATTTTTTTTTTTAAGAATTTAAAAACGTTAAAATTTATTAGGGAAAAATTGCGAAACGAAAATGAAATATTAATAATGATAACGACGTAGTAGAATAATGATAAGTGTGATTATATTAAGAATCCATTGAATGTGAATTCACCTGTCGCGTCAGACCGCCATGATGATGGTTAAAAATGGCGGCGTCGTCGGCGTCGGCGGTGGCGGTGGTGGTTCTCATTCTTTGCCAATAATTACATTATCCGAGTTCATCAATCAATTAACGATGACCGAAATTAATTAAAATCCTCCATAATTGACATTGACCCCTTTTAATCGTGTCAATTATATAAACTTTTTAACTTTTTTTTTTTTTTTTTTTAAATTGACAACTCCTATAATAATAATAATAATGATAATTTGGTTCTTTTTTCCTCTTTGACGCGAAAGTAGTAGGAATACGAGGAAAACTTTGAGACGAGGTTAAAGGTCAACGTTTTTTCTCTTCCCGCTCGCACAGCAAAATTTAAATTGAGGTTTTTGGACCCAAGAGTGGAAAAAGAAGAAGAAGAAGAAGAAGAAGACAATCGTTTGTTTGTTTGTTTCTTTAAAAAAATTTAACGTTTTTTTTTTTATTTTCCAGCCGACCGAGATACCGACAACGACAAAAAATGGCAGAGAAGAAGGTTCAGTTAAATTTGGTTGGGTTCAGGGTGTTTTGGTACGATGCCTTCTTAATATTTGGGGTGTCATGTTATTCCTTCGGCTATCTTGGGTCGTCGGACAAGCCGGAATCGGTGAGTATAAACATAAAATTTTTTTTTTTTTTTAAACTCTCGCGTCTTCTGCTAGTCTTTTTTTATAATGTATTCTTTAATTAGGTCAAGCCATGATCGTTATATTGGGTGCGACCGTCGTCACCACCATAACGTCGTTGTCGATGTCTGCAATCAGCACAAATGGAGTCATCAAAGGAGGTGATAAAAAAAAAGTTTTTTAATTAAAATCCCTCTACGGCGACGACGTTTATTATTATTATTAATTAATTATTTATTTATTTATTTATTAATAGGTGGAACTTATTACATGATTTCAAGGTCTTTAGGACCTGAATTCGGAGGTTCAATAGGTTTAATATTTTCATTAGCCAACGCTGTTGCTTGTGCCATGTACGTCGTTGGTTTCTGCGAATCATTCAATTCATTATTGGCTACGTTCGATGTCAGCATCGTCGATGGTGACGTTTCCGATATAAGAATCATAGGATCCATCACCATATTACTCCTTACGGGAATCGTATGCGTAGGAATGGAATGGGAAGCCAAGGTGAATCAAATTAGTCGTTGTAAAAAAAAAAAAAAACTGTTTTCTAGTACCACGATTTCCTTTTAAGGTTTCCCCCCCCCCTTCCGATCAGTTTTCAAAAATGTTGACAAAAACCTTGAGAATAATAATAATATTGTTTTTTTTTTGTTCCAGGCACAAGTTGGTTTGATGGTGATTCTGGTAATCGCCATTTTAGATTTTATGTTAGGAACTTTTATCGGTCCGAAAAGTGAGGAAGAAAAAGCGAAAGGTTTCGTCGGTTACGATAGTGAGTACACGCACACGCACACACACACACACACATTGTCGCACAGGAGAAAAGAAAAACAAACAAACAAACAAACAAACGAATGAATTAATAAAACAAACTTGAAAGAAAAAACTAAACTGTTATTAATTTCACGCCCTCGTAAATTTTGTTTGTTTATTGTTTGTTTGTTTGTTTGTTTGTTTTAAACGAATTTTTTTTTTTTGCTGTTGTTTACCGATTAACGATGTTGATGCATTTCTCGATTGCATTTGGGGCTCAAAATAACCGCATCCGAAATTTTCTATTTTTTTTTTTTCCAGATGACTTGTTAAGTCAAAATTTCTGGTCCGATTACAGGCCTTTCGAAAATACAGATCATAATTTCTTTTCGGTATTTTCGATATTTTTTCCAGCTGCGACTGGAATTTTAGCCGGTGCCAACATATCTGGAGATTTGGAGGTAAAAAAAAAAACCCAAAAAAAAAAAAAATTTTGGTAGTAGTAGTAGTAGTAGTAGTAAAACGTTCGAGGGTGTAAAATTTAATGAAAAAAATCAAATAATAATGATAATAATAGAGAATTAAATTTCTTGAACGGTCACAAAAGTTTTACTCGTTATTAAGGAACCTGGAAAAATTGTAGGACCCTCAGCATTCGATACCCAAGGGAACTCTATTGGCTATATTGATAACGACAATATCCTACATAATAATGGCTCTTCAATCCGGATGGACGGTTCACAGGGATGCGAGTGGGGATGTGAGCGAGCTTAACGACACGAGTGTTTATAATTGTACATACAGGCCGTGCAAGTACGGTTTGCACAATACCATACAGGTACAAATAAATCCCGGGGAGTTTTTCCCATTTTTCCCCTTTTTGGAAAATCTTTTGTAATATTTCGTTCGTTTTTATAGGTAATGGAAATCGTTTCCGCTTTTGGACCATTTATTTATGCGGGTTGTTTTGCCGCAACCCTTTCATCTGCCCTTGCGAGTTTAGTGTCGGCACCAAAAGTTTTCCAAGCTTTGTGCAAGGACAGCCTTTATCCGTACATATCGTGGTTCGGTAAGGGTTACGGAAAGAACAATGAACCCGTACGGGGATACATATTAACATTTTTCATAGCGATTGCATTTATATTAATAGGTAAAGGTTTTCTTTTGTTTAGTCAAACCTTTTCATAAAAAGGTTCTATTTAACCGGAAAATCGATTTACCCCCCCTTACCCTCTCCCTTTTTTTTTTTTTTTTACAGGTAATTTAAATTCGATAGCTCCGTTGATTTCAAATTTCTTTTTGGCTGCTTATGCTCTCATTAATTATAGTACGTTTCACGCGTCATTGGCCAAACCCGTGGGATGGCGCCCGACATTCAAGGTAATCTTATCATCAACGTTTTTTTCCTATTAATTATTAATTCGCAGGGAAAAAAGCGTCAGCGTCGTCGTCGACGACGACGACGACGACGACGTCATCGACGTCATCACTTTTGATGGAAATGATTCCGACATTTTTGTTTGTTTGCTTAATGAAACGTCGTAATGCTCATTCAACCATGAAATAAATAATAATAATGATTTTTTCTCTCTCTCTCTCTTTCTTTCTCCATCTTTATTCTTTCTTTATAATTTATTTAGTTTTACAATATGTGGCTGAGTCTCGCCGGAGCACTTCTTTGCGTTGCCGTCATGGTTTTGATAAGTTGGTGGACGGCAGTCATAACTCTCGCCATCGTTTTGTCTTTGTATTTGATTGTGGCACATAGGAAACCCGGTGAGAATTTCAATTCCTTTTTTTTTTTCCTTTCATTATGGGAAAAAAATTATTATTATTATTTTTGTGCGTGACAGATGTCAATTGGGGTTCGACGACTCAGGCGCAAACATACAAAAACGCTCTGACGTCCATAATCCAACTGAACAACGTCGAAGATCACGTTAAAAATTATCGGCCTCAAATATTGGTTTTGAGCGCTCTTCCAAACAATCGTCCTCAACTCATCGATTTTGCATACCTCCTCACGAAAAACCTGTCGCTTTTGATATGCGGTCACGTGATTAAGGTGATTATAAGCGTGATTGTGGCGTGACGCACGCCGCCGCCACACCCCCCCCCCCCGACATCTTGGTTGGTGACTTATTGGTACTTATGGTTGTTTTGTCTTGTTTTTCAGGATTCCGTGCCTCAACGTGTGAAAAATTCTCTCGCGAACAGGAGCAGTAATTTCCTTCGGATGCACAAGATAAAAGCTTTTTACGCTCAAGTCGACGAGCTGAGTTTCGAAGCCGGAGCGAAAGCTCTCCTCCAAGCTTCCGGTATTGGAAAGTTAAAGCCGAACATTGTTTTAATGGGTTACAAATCGGATTGGCAAACGTGTAAAAAAGAAGATTTGCTCATGTATTTCAACGTTTTGCAGTGAGTTGTCCTTCCCCCCCCCCGCTGCCCACCTTTTCTCCCGGTTGTTTTTCCCGGAATGTAATATGGAAATCATTTTTTCTTATTTTTCTTCCGAGCAGCAAAGCGTTCGACATGTACATGGCGGTATCCATATTGAGACTTAAAGACGGTTTGGACTATTCAAAATATTTATCGCAAGAAGAGGAATACACGACGAACGGTCACATACATCCCGTGGGAACGGCAACAAGTTTAGCAACTCGTCAGCATTCTCAAGAATTCATTCCAAGAAACGAAAGTTTTATACAAATGTCAGCAGGTAAAGGAAGACAAAATTCTGGAACGTTTTTCCTTTTTTTTTTTTTTTGTGGGGGGGGGTGGGTTTGGTTAAGGGGGGGGACATGGGGAGGAGGGTGGATAGAAGGTAGACAAAAAAATTTTATTTTAGCTGAACATTTTTATTAGGTTTTACTTTTTCTTTTTCTTCTTTTTTTTTTTTCTCCTCAGAGCTTACGAAATATTTACAAGTACACTTTAGATTTAGTAGACGCGGTAAGATTCGAAATTTGAGTTTTTGGTTTTCTTCTTTTTTTTTTTTTTTTTTTTGATTTGATTGATTGAGTTTGATATTATTATTATTATTATTTTCCATCGATTTCCGTTTTGATGCTGTTGATGTGAGCTTTGGTTTTTTTTTTTTTTTTGGCTTTTGCCCGTTTGTACCGTGTTTGTTTTGTTTTGTTTTGTTTTGTTTTGTTCTATTTTTTCAATACGTTTAACGAATGCCTAATGTTTAAAATTTTCCCTAGCTAGCAGTACGAGCGATTTGACAGCGCCATCAACTCCTAATTTAAACAAGAATAGAAACAACAGAACGAGCGAAAGTCCCAACACGGAAACACAAGAACCTGACACAACCGTTATCGATGTGAGAATAGATAAGAAAAGTCAGAAAAAGGAAAAATCGAAAAAAGGTTCGAGAAGCGATTTGTTCAGGTATATATCTGTGCTTTTTTTTTTTTTTTTGGGGGGGGGGTGGGGGCAATTTGTGTCAGTCAAAAGGAATGTTTGTTTGTTTATTTAATTGTTTGTTTTGTTTTGTTTTGTTGCATAACATAAGGAGTCCGAGTGGTACGGAATTGCCCAAAGACATTCTAAATAATCTTACATTGTTCCAAAGGAAGCAGAAAAAAGGAAATATTGACGTTTGGTGGTTATACGACGACGGAGGATTAACATTACTTTTGCCCTACATAATAAGCACGAGGAGTAATTGGTCAAATTGTAAGCTCAGAGTTTTCGCATTGGCCAATAAAAAGGATGAATTAGAATTTGAACAGAGAAGGTTTCTTTTCTTTTCTATTTATTTATTTATTTTTTGGCATTACTGTTTTCATTGCCTACAACAACACCATCACCACCACCAGTACCATCACCTTCAGTACCACCACCACCACCACTACCACGACCATCACCACTTTTACGACTATCATCACTACCACTACCATTGTCACCACTGCCACCACCATCACCATTACCTTCAATACCACCACCATCACCATTACCTTCAATACCACCACCACAACCATCACCATCATCACCATCAGCACCACTTCTACGACTACCATCACCACTGCCACCACCATCACTATTACCACCACCACCATCAATCACCATTACCTTCAGTACCATCACCATCAGTACCATCACTACGACCATCACCTTTACCTTCAGGACCATCACTACCACCATCACCTTTACCTTCAGTACCATCACCATCAGTACCATCACCATCAGTACCATCACCATTACCTTCAATACCACCACTATCACTACCATCATCCCTTTTACGACTATCATCAGTACCACTACCATTGTCACTACCACCACCATCAATCACCATTACCTTCAGTACCACCACCACCACCATCACTTTTATGATTATCATCACTACCACTACCATTGTCTCCACCACCAGTACTATCATCATCATCATCACCATCATCGCCATCACCATCAGTACCATCACCACCGTCGCTACCTAACCCAAATCTTTTATCATTATTATTAAGGTTTCATTTCTCACTCTCACTCTCTTTCTCTCTTTTTTTTTTGTTACAGCATGGCGAGTCTTCTTGCAAAATTTCGAATCGATTATTCTGATTTAACAGTTATTCCGGATGTAACGAAAAAACCTCAGGAAAAAACGGTAGCATTTTTCGAGCAACTCATCAAAGACAGGAGAATCACAGATGAGGACAGTCCAGAGGCATCCGTACTCGAAGAAGGTCATTATCACCATCATCATCGTCATAATTAAAGGTTTTGACTTAACGTTTGTTTAATGTTGTTTGTTGTTTGTTTTTACAGTTGGAATCACGGAATCCGAATTGCTTGCAACTAAAGACAAAACAAATCGTCATCTCAGACTGAAAGAACTTTTAATGGAATATTCCATTGATTCGAGTTTGATCGTGATGTAAGGGCTTTCGATGGTTTTTCTTACTTCCCACTACCACCACCCCCACCATCACCACCATCACCACCACCATCGTTACCATCAGTAGATTAATTCGTTTTTTTTTTTGTTTTGTTTTGACAGGACTTTGCCCATGCCACGTAAAAACATGGTTTCGGCTGCTCTTTACATGTCTTGGCTTGAAGTTTTAACACGCGACATGCCGCCATTTTTGTTGGTTCGAGGAAACCAAACGTCGGTCCTCACATTTTATTCGTGATATCATCTTTTTTTTTCTTTTCTTTTTTTTTTTTAATGTATTTGTATATACGTGAAAACTTTAAAAACTTGCCTTTTTTCCTTTTTACTTTCTCTTACATTCTTTTACTTTCTTCTTCTTTCTTTTCCGTCTAGTACTATACTAATAGTTTTTCTTTCATTTTGGTTTTTCTCACCGTTCTATCTCTCTCAATTACCGAACGTTTTTAAAAATCTTAAATATATTTATGTGTATCTTCCTTTCACTTTTCTTTTATTATCATTATCATTATTATTATTATTATTATTGGAAATTTATAAAATGTACGTTTTTAAAAATATGAAATCCGTCCGATTATTATTATTATTATTTAATAAGAAAAAAGAAAAAAAAGAAAAAAAATTCTTTTAAATATAAAAATTTGTCTTATTCCCTTTTATCCCTTCCCCTCCTTCCCTAACCCCCTACCTCCTCCCCTTTGTAAAAATATTTTCTTATGTATTCATATTATAATGAATTTTTTTTTTTTTTTTTTGATGAAATTTAAGGTATTAAGGTTATAAAAAAAAAAAAAAACGGGTTATGGAAATTTCCTTTTCTCTTTCTCCTTCCCCTCTTCCCTTCTCTTCGTCCCCTTCCCCTCCTTCCTCCGTTTAATTTTAAAAGATTTTTTTTTTTTTTTTACTGTGAATTCCAGGTTTTTTTTTTTTTTTAAATAAAAAATGTCTCCTCCGTACATTTGTTTTAATTATAGAACGTATGAAACTATAAGAAAATGTTTTGTTTTTATTATTATTATTATTTATTCCTTTCCAAACGACAAATATTCACGCGCACTCACGCACTTAAATTTTCTTCCTTTTATTCCTTCCTTCCTTCCGTTTCCAATTTGTTTGTTTTTGTATCCCGTTTGTACACGTGTGCGTGCGTGTGCACGTGCATGCGTGCGTGGGGGTATCAAAAGGATGCAATAAAAATAAAATCAAATTTCATTTATTTATTTATTTATTTTTATTTATTTATTTACATATATATATGTACATATATATTAAAAAATAAAAAAAACAGGATTTTAATAGATTAATAATAATTATTCTTATGATTGATTGATTGATTCACTGACTGACTGATTGACTGACTGAGTGATTGAACTGATTCATGATTAATATAATAATTTACAAAAAAGATGCGAAAAAATTATTTTGTTTAACTTTTCAAAATAATAATAATAACAATAATAATTGATAATGATAATAATAATACTAATAATAATCATAATAATAGTAATAATAATAGTAATAAAAATAAATTGTACTCGATGACGTTTGATAAATGATCCATTTGATTCTGAGATTATAATTATTATCAATATTATTATTATCATTATATACGACGCGATCGATTGATCGATACATCGATACATCGATCCATCGATCCATCTATATCGACTCATATGTTTGTTAATTTTGATCACCGTTGATGTTTTTGGGTAATTTTCTCATTATTTTCCCGGATGTTATGAGACGTCCGAAACCTTCCTGGTGAGCGAATGCGTATCCCGAACGTATCGAACGTCTCGTTCGGCGAACGGATGGAGTTCTTAGTACGTCTTGAGACGATCGAGATCTGAAAATAAAAGACGAGATTCGATTAATCTTCTTTCTCTTTTTCTTTCTTTCTTTCTTTTCCTCGTACCTGAATTTAATAGCTGCCAGTCTCTGTTTTAGTCTTACTCTGTCGCTTATGCTCGGCTTAACGTCGGCCAAATAAAATCTGACCGCTAGGACGGGAATGGTGAGTACGGTAACCGTTATTACCGTCGTGTACCAAAACATGGCTTCGCTCATGGCCATCGTTAGAGTACCGACGTAGGCTCCCTGTATCGTGTAATTGTACGAATAATCGAGAATGAAATAGAAAAGGAGGGATCCCCATATTGTTATGTGATTGAATATCGTCCAGTAAGATGTGTCCATGGCGATCTAAAAATACCCCCCCCCCCAAATAAATAAAATAAAAAAAAAAACAAAATGGCGCGTGCCTTTCTTTTTCTTCTTCATTACCTGTGCCGTGACGACAATGACCAAAATCGTCGAAACAACCGTTCCCAAAAGCATGTGATCGGATAGTGTGTAACCCTTGGGAGACGTACCATCTTTATAAGTACCTGAAAGTACGTACACGAGTTGGAATTTTAAACGTCAACGAATTTTCTTCGGGTATCCTCGCCTCCTCTCGCCTTCAGCGGACTCACCGTAAGGTATTAAAAATATAACGCAAGAAGTAAAAAATCCGTGAAGAGCACTTTTTATAAACTCGGCCTTGTTGAACAATAAATTCTTCTGTCCGGCCACGTACAATTTCGGATAGTTTAACGAATTGAGGTCGCTCACGTCTTGATCGAAAATTCCGAGGGCAAGTACGGGCATCGAAGTATAAAATAAATTATATACAGCGATAAACATGGGATCGAAAACGGTCTGCAACAGACAAACAAACAAACAAACAAACAATATATACCATTGCCATCATCATCATCATCACCACCACATCATCTCCTTTCGAACTTACTTGAGCGCTGAATCCGCAAAAGAAAGCAAACCAAAAATGGCAGAGGGTGAAAGCGAAATTCTTGTAGAAAAAACATCTTAAAAATTTACACATCCTGTAGTAGGACCACCTTCCGTGCACGAGTAAAAGCCTTTCCAAAAACCTGAACTGAGCTATGGAATAGTCGGCGGCCAAAACGGCTTGCATACCCTCTTGACCGCTTATACCGACTCCGATGTGAGCGGCTGGAAACAAAAATCAAATTGATCGGAAAACTCAACAAACGACAAACAAACCGCACAAACAAACAAACAAGTCTTTCTTTACCTTTGATCATGGAGACATCGTTGGCACCGTCACCAATGGCCAACGTCACGGCTCTTTTGTTCTTCTTTATCATTTCCACGACTTTTGCTTTTTGCAGGGGGGTGACGCGGCAACAAATGACGGATTTGCAACTGCACGTTATTTCCAAAAACAATTGTTCCAATTGAGGTTGGAGAGCGTGAACCAAAGAGTGACCGTTTATGACGATGGCAAACGTCGTCGGCGGCTCAGATTCTTCAATTCTAACACCATTAGGATAATCTAATTCGGAACTACAAACACAAACAAGCAAACAACCGGCATTTTTTCAATTTTTCCTCGTTTTTTTTTTTTTTTTTTTTTTTGTCAACGAACTCAATCGTCGAACAAACAAAAAAACAAACAGACAAACAAACGACAAACAAGCAATAAAATAAAATAAAAAATTAATTAATATTAAAGATATTTCGACAGATTTTATTCATTCTGTCTTCTGCTTCTTTGTTTACGTTTTTTTTTTTTTTTTTTTTGTTAATTTCTTTTGATTCGTTTCTTTCGTGAACTTTCCCTTCGAAATATTTGACATGCATGAAGAGACGACAGGACGACAAACAAGACTTTCAATCAAAAGCTTTTCTTTCCCCTCCCCTCCCCTCACCCGCTAACTTTTACTTTGGAATAAACACGATGAGAAAAATCCCTTCAACCTTACACTATCACTATTATTATTGTTATTATTAGTGTACTACAACCTCAACCCTAATGGCGGATAATAATTTTTTTCTTTATAAATTAGTAAAGTGAAGAAGAGAAATCAAAGACTTTGACAAAGCTCAACGGACGAAACGAACATGAGGCGAAAAAACAACTGCCAAACAAAAAAAAAAAAAAAAAAAAAGATGAATAAAACCTGTCTGTGATCTTCTCCCGTTGGTCCCACCTGAAAGTGACGACGGAAATGCTTGTGTCAGTCCCCTGATTATTATTCGCCGTTTTACGTATTGTGTCCCGGTGTTTCAACAATTGACGTTCGACGTCATCGAACGTGCTCGCGTCCACGATGAAAACGTCGGCCATGTCATCCGTTAACAACTGGCACGAATATCCTATGTTGATGGCTGTTTCTGAAAACAAAACGAATGGAACGTTTTGGATATGATCGAAATCCCCCCTCTCTCCTTCCCTTCCCTCCCCCGATCAACGATTGAAAACCGCCACCGCCACCGCCACCCCCGTTCCCCTCACGTCATTAAACCATCGCGTACCTTGCTTGTCTCCGGTTAGAACCCAAATTTTTATTTCCGCCATGGCTAATTTCGATATGGTTTGAGGTACGCCATCTTGAAGTTTATCCTCTATGGCCGTGACTCCTATCAGAGTCATGTTCTTTTCTATTTCCTCGTAAATGGCATCCAATTTTTCATCTCTGTTTTCCATCGACATGGCCGCTTCTTGATGCCTCTGCTTCCAATTATTAAAAAACAATTCGTCTAAATCTCGAACGGCGAGACACAGAGTACGAAGACCTTCTCCCGCGAATTTCTAAATGAAAAACAAATAACAATAATAATTACACGTCATTGGCGACAAAGAGCCACGACGGAAATGTGACGACTCGAATTCGAATTCAAACTCACGTTCAAATGTTCCTGAGTTTTGGCGGCAACTTCGCTATTTCCGGGTTTCAACCTTTCGTAAATGACGTTGTCGGCACCCTTGCAATAAAGCCTGTTAAATACACAAGACGTGATAAATATTTCCTACTGCTGCTGTTGCTGTTGCTCAATCGAGTCACCACCGTCACCCTTAATACTACCTGAGCGAGTTGTTCCTCCTCAAAATGACCGACATTCTTTTTCTAACGTTATTAAAATCTAATATGCATAACAATTCGTAAATTTCTTTTTTTCCCATGACTTCGATGGTTATCGAATTCGGGCTCCTCTCTTTGAAAACGAAACCGAAATTTCTCGCCGCCGATACGAGAGCTCCCTCATCCGGAGATTGAGCCTGATATTCGAGTTTACCTGAAAACCAAAAATTTTTTTAATGAATCGAATCACCGGAAATTATTATTATTATTATTATCATTAATTCACCAACCGTCTTTTTGATCGGCCATGACGGTGTGACACAAAGCCAACAGCCTAAAAAAATTGTAACAATTTTGATCCTTGGCTAAAACATCTTCGAGTAATTTTTTGTCGTAAAATTTGAACCCTGGCTCGTAATCTTTATTAAATGAAAAATCTAAAGGCGGAATATTCTGGAAATTAATCACAAAATACTCAATTTCATTATTATTATCATTCACTACGGGTCGAATGAATCGATTGTGAAACGAGTAGGAAAATTTTTTCACTCCAAATGATGAAAAGATGAATGGAAAAAAAAAAAACAACTACGAGATGAAACAACAAACGAGACAAAACTACTTCCGTTTAAAAAAAAAAAAACTACTTCCGGTTTTGGTTTCTTTCTTTTTTTGTCAAGTGAACTGAAATACCTACGAATACGGGTGTGGGATTTCTTTTAAACGCTTTATTAAACGTGCAAAGATTTTCTTTCTTGATGAAAATTAAATTTTCTTCGCTATTGAAAGGACGTATGCAACAAGCGGATTGTTCGCAGCCTTTTCGGGGGGGTACAGTATCGAGTCGTTCCTGCGGGAATGTCAAATCAACGAGAACAACGCTGAATAATTATTTCTTTTGTTTACTCTATTCGTACGAGAAACGCGCACGTTCTATCTTATACCGATTCGATCGATCGATCGATTACTCGAACTCGAATTCATTTGTTTTGAACTAGCTAAAAAAAAAAAAGGTTTACCTCGCTGGTATCGATGTACTCTCCTGTTTTCTCATCTTCGACGTCACCGTAACAAACGCCTGCTATTGAACATTTATTAAATGTCATTATGTTCTGGAAAGAAAGAAAGAAAAAAATCATTCGAATTGAAAATGATGTACCTGGTAGTAAAAGTAGTACCTACCTGGGTTAGAGTACCAGTCTTATCGGAAAATATGTATTCTATTTGACCTAATTCTTCATTTAACGTTGTCGTTCTCGCTTTGGCGTGAGTATTCGTTTTTTCGCAACGCATTTTTTCATCCCAATTAATTAAAAAACTTTGGGCGAACCTAATGACTTCCACGCTTGCAATAACAAAACAAAACAATAAAATCAACGGATGCGAAAAACAATAACCGAACCTGAAAAACCTGCCGATTCTTACCTTACGTAAAGCGAGATAGGCACAACGGTATTAAGGACAATGGCATATGAAAAAAATACCAATAAAGCGATTATTGTGGCTCCGTAAACGGGATCCTTCGGCACGAGAGAATCCCAGGGTAAATAAACCTGGAAAAACGAAACGAAAATGTTGTTTCATACGGAATACGGTTGTTGGGTACCACGAGTACCACGAGTACCAGTACTCACTTGAAAAAAACGTCCGACGATCGTTTCCCAAATCCCACAAGCAACCATACAAAACAAACAAACGGAAAGAAGAAAAAAAACAATCTGAAAACAAACAAAAATTATTTTAAGACCTTTTTCGCATCGTTCCCTCATTATAAATGACTTATAATAAATAGACAAACAAAACAAACAAAACAAACAAACAAAACAAACAAACAAACGAAAAAAAAAAAAAAAAACTCACCCCAATTATAATAAAATTTAACAACCTGTCAATACTGGTGCGTTTGAATTTTGTTTTCCCAGAATTTTGCATTAGTTTGGTGTCTTTGCCAGCAAAGATCACCACACCGTAGCACCATTGAGTGTTTCGTAATATGCAACCTCTTAAAACAACTTTATCGTTATCTAAAGAATACCTACAACAAAAAAAAGAAAATCATTTTTTAAACGAACGACTTTCGATTATATATCGACTTATCGAATTCATATCGAATCGATATATCGCGCTTCTCTTTCTTACTTTTTCCCATTCCACGACAAAGTTCCTTCGAATTTGTTAAGGAGGTTATTTGGGGTTTCGCATACTATTTCACCGTTGAACTCTCCGAGATCAGAATCGTTTTGACCCATTTCCGCCGTTTCGACGAGGCACTGACGACATTTTAAATTTGTTTCTCTGAAATACGAAGAGAGAGAAAAAGAATCGCATTGAAAAAATGCACGACGACGACGACGACGACGACATTTTTTGACGAAAAACCCAATAATTATTACCCGTCGAGTTCTGCCGTTTCTATGTAACAAAGGCCGTTTGGTTCCGACGTGGACAAAAGTAAAACGTCTGCTGCCACGAACTGATTATTTTCCATTCGTATAACGTCTCCGACCTGTACTTCGGCCCATTTCTCTTCGACCAACTTCCCATTACGTAAGACTTTTGAACGACGTTTATTTACCTGAGAGTCGCTCCGATGTCTTTGCTGGAAAATATAAACGAATATATAACTCCAGAATCTTAAAACAATAATAATAATAATAATAATCATCGTGCATTCTCTCCCTCTCTCTCTCTGTCTACGATCGAAGTAGACAAAGACAAAAAAGAGGATCGATACGCGATAAAAACGAAGGAGAGAAAAAAAAGGAAAAAAAAAGGAAAAAGAAAAAGGAAAAAGGAAAAAAGGAAAATGGAAAGAATTCAATAATTAATTTTTTTTTTTAGTAAATTCAAACATGAAATCTAACGAACGACTGTCGGATATTATAAGTCAGTTCCAGACTTTCAATTGAAACCGAGAAAAAAAAAACGCCATTTTTTATTCTTTTCATTTCAAACAAACCTCTCAAGTGTTCTAAAATTATTATTATTATTATTATTATAAAAAAAAAGAGGTTTTGCCAAGATAAATTCAACCTTTCAAAAACAAAAAAAACATCATCATCATCATCTTGTCTTTCTTTTTTGCACGTGTAAGCGTTACACGTGTGATAAAACATCAATTATTTCACCAACGTGTTCTTGATGATGATGATGATGATGATGAGTAGATAGGAGAAGAAAAGACTTACAAAATCATCATAGGCGTCTTTAACGGCTGTCAGCGACAGTACGCCAATAAGAGGCACAGCAGTCGTAATGGGAGTCAGCGAAGATATGGCTGGAATCACCTGGAAATCATCAATAATAGAAGAAGAAGAAAAACAAAATTAAAACACACTCTCTCTCTCTCTCACTCTTTCGATTTTACTTATTTAAACCTTACCTGAAGGACGAGAAGGCAAAGAAAATAAAAATTAGCAAGGCGTTGAAATTGCTCGAATAAATTGAGTGGAAGAAATGTCAGCAGCGAATATTTAGATGTCTTAATGTAATTATTCTGCGGAAACGGAAAAAATTTTTTAAACGATTTTTCGAAGAGAAAAAAAAAAAAAAGGAGCGAACCCCCTCTTTCCCCCCAACCCCCACCCCCCCACCCACAACTCACGGTGTGATAATGATAAAAAGGGAAACTTACGGCATAATTGAACTGAAAATTGAATTCGCGGTCGTTCGCCCGAATCCGGCGTTCAGTTTCTGCAACAAAACAAAACAAAACAATTTAAATTAATTAATTAATTTACTTATTGTTATTATTCGAAGGGGAAGGAGGGGATAGAGAAGAGGAGAGGAAAAGAGGAAAATGATGTGGGGGGAAGAGGGGGAGAAAGAAATAGGCCGATCTTATTCTTACGAACGGAGGCATGATGACGTCGACGACGTAACCGACTCGGAGACGCCGCGCCATTATTATGCGTTAAAGTTTTTTTTTTTTATTGTCGTGCTTACAAGGAAATTCAGTTAATTTTTACATTCGACGAAAAATGTGACGTCGACGTCCATGTTAATAATAATAATGATAATATCAAAAATCTGACGGGGAGGGGGAAAAACACGCGCGGGCATATACATGCATTTCATACACATAAATAAATAAATTTTATTTTTAATTAATACGTACGTCATTTCAAATAAACACAAAAAATGTCAAATAAATTTCTCCCGTTTTCCCCCTCCTTCCCCACCCCTTCACTCCCTCTCCCGTTTTCCTCACTTAACCCCCTCCCCAAAATTTAATTAGATTGATTAAAAGAGAGTCCAAGTTTCGAGTCTCTTTTTCAACTGTCAGGATTTCAAATATTTGATACAAATTAAATTCTTCTCCTTATTATCATTATCATTATCATTATTATTATTATTATTATTATTTCGAAAGAAGGTTTTAAGGCGCCAGTCGTCAGAAACCAGCCGCGATATAAAAATTTCAACTTGAAAAGTTAGTTTCCAACGAAACTTTTTTCTAACTCATTAATTTAGTTTAATTATTTTCAAACCGTTTTCAAACCGCGAAAAATTTGAGCCAAAACAAAACAAACCCCCCTCCCTCCCCTCTCCCCTTCCGCTACCGCCATTTTTTTGTCTCGTCTTCTTCTTCTTGTTCTTGTTTTTCTTCTTCTTCCATCTCGAATACTTACGGACAGAAAGTAATCCTCGAAGTATTTCCGATTGCGAGAGAGATGATGATCCGGTGGCATAATGCGATCTACGCCAAACGACTAATTTTCCCAACACGGTCAACAGGTTGTTCCTGAAGGTGTTGGGTCGTTTAGCGCTTGGCAAAGATCCCTCCGATCCGTTCATGACGTTTTCCAAACCTTTAAAATTTTTTTTCAAATTTCTCTTCGTTTTTATATCACTGGAAAAACACAAACGCACACAGATAGACACTCACAGTCCTTTGCCAGGTGAGAGAGACAAAAAAAAAAAAAACTCGGGCCTACGACGACGTATCTCTCTCTCTCTCCCTCTCTCGAAACGAGCAAGAGAGAGAAAGAGATGGTAAAACACTATCGCCGCTCCCGTTCTTTTCGGGACGACAAAAAATGAAAAGAACGAGAATAAATCTAAGCGCGAGGTGAAGCCCCAACCTCCCCTCTCCTCCTCTCCCCCGTCCCAAGATTAATTTCATTACTGATGTACATAAAAAAAAAAAAGGAACGGAAAAAGCTTAATTCAAACATCCTCCTTTCAATTTAAAGAAAGAAAAATAAAAGACGTTGAGAATTAATGGAATGCTAATGGAAGGTTAAGAAAACTCAAAGTGATAATGATAATAATGATAATAATAATAAGAAATAGGTCGATAAATGCGATACGACAGCTGGAATCTCCTCTTGTTAACCCTATCGATTAATCGATCGAGTTAGAAAAAAGGAAAAAAAAAATTCAAAGGAAATAATTACGTTGTTTGAATTAAGCTCACACGTTCTCCTACTCGGGGGGGGGGGGTGACACTCGCGCGCGCGATATTCGATTTTCTTTTTTCCTTTACCCTCACCTGGAATGGACTGTTTCTGAGAGTCTATGGTGGTGACTTCTCGCGCCACCGGAAGTTCTTCCGAAATATTCCGCACCGTAACAATTGCACATTTTTTGAACTCCTGTACTGCTACTAGTAGTGCTACTAGACCTAGTTTTCACCACCACGACTTCGGACGGGTTCGCGTAGTAACATTTATCATTGGGGTCCGGGTTCGATGGGTCGCCATCGTAGAATTTACACTGCGAACTCGATTCCTGCGTCGAAAACGACGAGGATTTTCTTCTCTCCCGCGCTTTCTTTTCCAAATAACACGTCGCGCATTTTTTTTTTCTCTTGTACATTTTCTGAGGTTTCGATTGATGATATTTTCTACCGTCGCCGAATCGCCACGAGGATTCGACTACGACGACTTTGTCTTCGACGAATTTCACGTGATCCGACGACACGAATATTTCACCCGATCTTTTCGCCGTGACGTCATCGTCTTTTCCCCCGTCCGACGAATTCAATCGCGAGAGATTTTTTCCCAATACACCCACGCATTCAGGTTCGGATTTGTCTTCTTCTTCTTCTTCATCCTCTTCTTCTTCGCTTGGAAACGAATCGTAACCCTTGGCACCCGTTCCCCCGTCGACGAATATTCTCTTACGTTTCATTTTTTTCCTTTCCAAATAATTTACTTTTCCAAAATTCAAAGATGACACAACGTCCGAGTAAATATTGTCCGCGTTGTCATCCACCGTTCCAGAGTCTCGGGTTCGTTTGGACGAGGGCCCCTCCTCCGTCGAAATGGCATCCATTTCTAGAATGTCTTCCATTCTTAGAATGGGAGCCCGATACGAAAAATTTTCCTCTGTTATCTTCGAATACATTCTCGCACCATTTAAACATTTCTTATTCATTCAACGTTTTTACCGTTTCTCGTTTGTCATTTTAATTATTGATAATAATAATAATAATAATAATGATAATAATGATAATAATACTAGTAATTGTTATAAATAATATTTAACCCGTAAATATCACATCTGCTTAAAAAAAAAAAAAATTACGTTTAACCCAAATCAAAAACCCGATTCCACGATGATGATGATGATGATGAATGATTCAGGTAAGACCGTCATCAATTACGATAAATCATTACGACTTATAAGTGATAACACGGTTATTCCGGAACCCCCCCCCTCTCTCTCTCTCTCTCTCTCACTCCCTGCCCTTATACCAATAACATTATCATCATCCTCTCTTACCCTCTTCTCTCGCGGGGCAAACAAAAACGGGGGACGTCCATCGAAAATATTAAAAGGCGAGGGGGCAAGTCTTAATGGGGGGAAGGGGAAGAGGGGGGTAGGGGAAACAAAGTGGTCGATCGGTCGAAAAAATGGAAAATGTAAAAAGTAATCGAAAATTTTTTTTTTCTTTCCCCTTAAATTTTTAATGGTATTATTTGTTATTCACGGTGTAATAAAAAAATAATTTCAACCATTTTGCGTTTCAAACGATCCCCCCGAATTAAATTATTTATTAAATATATTTCCGATAGAAATTTTTTTTTTTTAACAAAACAAAAAAAAAACAAAAAAAGCAGAAGACAGAAGATATAACTTTTAACCTTTATTCGAACAACAACAACAACAACAAAAACGAAATTAAAAAAAAAATATTTATATTTTGTTTGTTTGTTTGTTTACTACTATTATTATTATTATTCTATTTTTTTTTTCTTTTTATCCGAATTTTTGGCAAGTGAAATACACACACGCACACGCACACGCACGCACACACGCACCCAGAGCACAAATCACTCTCATTTATATATATTTGTGATGGGGCAAATGCAACATGGCTGTCGTGTTGTGTGGTGAATAATAAATAAATTTTGACGTTGGCGTTGTTCTTTTATTATAAACATCAACATATTGACACATATATATATATATATATAATTTTTAACGTTCCCCCCCTCCCCCCTCATCTTCTTTTTAACGTCCTCCCCCTTATTGAATTAAAAATAAAAATTATGTATTTCGTTTCGTCGCCCCCTCACAATCATCATCATCACTCCCCTCTATATCTCATCTTCTTACAAAATAATTTTTCCTATCATCACGTGATCTACTGACGATTTCATTTTGGGTAGAGAAAAACTTTTTTTTATTAGCGTACCTACACTAATTGAACTTGAAAGGTCTTCTTTACCCACTTAGTACAAGAGAGAGAGAGAGAAAGAGAGATTTCAGGTCGATAAACCGGATAAAGTAAGAAAGACAAAAGACGAATCGAATTTCACGAAACGTATTCCAAAGAATAAACAATTATTATTATTATTATTATTTGAAGATTGACGTAAGATACGAGGGGGGGGGGAACGAGAGCAACAACAACAAAAACTCATATTTCATCCCGATGATGACCGTCTTATCGTTAACCTAGCAGACGAGATAGAAAGCAAATAATAACAATTTCTTTTCCTTTCTCCCCCCCACCCTCCTCTAAATCCGACAAATACGTTAAACGTTTTTTTAATTATAATTAAAAAAAAAAAAAAAAACTGTCAACAATTTTAACGGACAATCGATTAATTTAATGGATCGTAAAAAAAAAAAAAAAAAAAAAATTCAATTTCAGGAAAATCTAATGAAATTCTAAATAAAATAAAATTTTACAATCATCAGAGAGCTTAATTAATTTTCTCCACGTTTATAAAAAAAAAAAAGACAAGACACCGACAACAACAACAACGACAAACAGGATGACGAAGACGACGACAACAGCAACGACAAACAGGATGACGAAGACGACGACAACAACCACAACGACAAACAGGATGATGACAACGACGACAAGAGCAATGGCAAACACGAAGACGACGACGACGACAACAACAACAACGACAAACAGGATGACGAAGACGACGACAACAGCAACGGCAAACAGGATGACGAAGACGACGACAACAACCACAACGACAAACAGGATGATGACGACAACAACAACAACCCTAACTTTCGTGGTACCACCGATTCCGTGATGACGTTTGGCTCTTGCACTCTCACTTACACACTTTAAAATACCGTTCAGAAAATTCAGGTTTCGAACATCGTCCAAGATGGCGAAGGTTTGTGAAAATCATCACATCCACACAGAGATTCAAATATCAATTCCACACAGGTCCAAATTATTATTATTATTATTTTTGACCCGTCACCATCACAATCACTTCCGACTCGTCCCAAAACGAAAACGAAATCGAAATCTTACGACAATCTATTAATAATTTTCTTTTGACGGTTGAATTGTTTGTGTTTGTTTCGAACGGACGAACGAACGGATGAGCGATTGGACGTAAGACCAAAATAAATATTTACAGTAAAAATTATAAAAAAATTGCAATTGACCGAAACCGTTGTGTTTCCCCTCCCCTT